CGGGCACAACTCGACGACCTTCTGGAGAAAGGCTGGATTCGGCCTAGCTCATCGCCATACGGTGCTCCTGTTCTCTTCGTCCGGAAGAAGAACAACGACCTGCGGTTGTGCATCGATTATCGCAAGCTCAACGCGCAGACGATCAGGAACGCCGGCCCTCTCCCACGCATCGATGACCTTCTCGAGCGATTGGGCGGCGCCCAGTTCTTCTCTAAGCTGGATCTCAAGTCAGGGTACCACCAACTCGAGATTCGCAAGGAGGACCGTTACAAAACCGCGTTTAAGACGTGATATGGGCATTTCGAATGGCTGGTTATGCCATTTGGCCTTACGAATGCCCCGGCCACCTTCCAAGCGGCTATGACAACGGAGTTCCGACATATATTGGATCGTTTCGTACTTATCTACCTCGACGACATTTTGGTCTACAACCGGAGTTTGGAGGAGCATGTGGAACACCTGCGCACCGTTTTGGAGCGGCTGCGACAACCCAAGTACAAGGCCAACCGCGACAAGTGCGAATTCGCACGACATGAGCTGGAGTACTTGGGACATTATGTGACGCCGCAAGGCATCCGTCCGCTTGCGGACAAGATCGAGGCCCTACGAGTATGGCCCGAGCCCACCAACACCACGGACGTTCGTTCATTCATGGGATTGGTGGGCTACTATCAGCAATTCATCACCGGATACTCAAGGATTGCTGCACCTATGACGAGGTTACAGTTGCCAAAGGTGTCGTTCGTATTCGATGTCGATGCACGCCGGTCATTCCAAGCACTTAAGACGGCCATGCTCATGGCACCCGACCTTAGCATCTATGACCCCACACTGCCGACGCGAGTGACTACGGACGCTTCTGGCTATGGCATTGGGGCAGTCTTGGAACAGCACGACGGCGACGACTGGCACCCTGTGGAGTATTTCAGCCACAAAGTGCCTCCCATCAACTCGCTTGATGATGCAAGGAAAAAGGAGCTGCTCGCATTTGTCATGGCTCTTAAGCGATGGCGGCACTTCCTCCTTGGAAGTCGTAGGTTCAAATGGGTTACGGACAACAATCCATTGACCTACTACAAGACGCAGGATACGCTGAGCAACACTATCGGACGATGGATGTACTTCATCGACCAGTTTGACTTCACACCGAAACATTTTCCCGGCCTCTCAAATCGCGCAGCAGATACACTCTCGTGAAGACCTGATCTTTGCGCTATGACACATCATGVCTTCGGATTCGACGAGGAGCTTCAGCGACACTTCATCCGGGCATACGAGTCTGATCCGGACTTCGCCACGCTGTATGCACAACTATCTTCGGATCACCAGCCGGCCAGCCATTACCGCATTGCCGACGGGTACTTGCTCCTCCACTCGAGAGGCATGAGCTTACTATGTGTCCCACGTGACCATCGTCTTCGGACTCGCCTCCTCGACGAGTATCATGATTCGCGACTCCCCGGCCATTTCGGAGTCAACCGCACTATTGCACGGCTTCGACAACGATTCCGATGCCCTGACCTTATTACCGATGTCACTCGGTATTGCGACTCGTGCGAAGTTTGCCGACGCAGCAAACCCCGCAACCGCAATCCCTATGGCGAGTTACACCGATGCCTATCCCACGGGAACCCGGTCTCTCCAGTGCCATGGACGTCACCGGTCCGTTTCCTCGCGACCGGCTCGGGCACGACGGCATCCTCACAGTTGTGGACCCATTGAGTAAGTACGCGCGTTTTCTCCCTTGCAAGTACTACTCCACGGCTCCCGAGCTGGCACGCCTCCTGCACACTGGTTGGATTTGTGGCCACGGTGTACTAGAAGACATTGTCAGCGACCGCGACACTCGTTTCATGTCAGCATTTTGGACTGCTCTCATGCAGGAGTCCGGCACAACAATGAAACCAAGTTCGGCTCGGCATCCACGGACAGATGGGCAGACAGAGCGGGCACATCAAACCGCTCAAATGATGCTTCGTACGCTCATCCGTTCGGACCAGAAAGATTGGGTTGACCGCCTCCCCGACATCAAGTTCGCCTACAACACTTCGGTGCATCCGGCGATCGGCGTAACTCCATTCGAGTTGCACCACGGTGGACGGAAAGGCCGGATCTTCGCCGACCTTCTCCTCCCTTGACCAACCGACATTGACGCTGCCTGCTCTCCCGCTTCCGTCCGGAAGTACAGGGAATTGCTGACTCAAGCCCGCGCAAAYATGCAAAAKGCTCAAGTCMGCATGCAGCAGCAAGCCAACAGGCGTCGCGTACCATGTCCCATCCGCGYCGGTGATCTGGTTTGGGTCTYCGCGGAAGAGTTTGCACTGGAACAGGATGTTTCACGCAAACTGCTTCCCAAGTGGTTTGGACCTTGGTCTGTGACAGCAGCCGCGGGGGATGAGCCCGATGGCCCTTCATTTATGATCAACATTCGAGAGCATCTGACGGTCCATCCGGTCTTCCACGCCCCGAGGCTGGCAACATACACGCCAGCCAAGAGCGACGACTTTCCGGGTCGATGATCGCTGGACCCTCCTTCTATGGATGGTCATCAGGAAGTTGACCGCGTCATCACCGATCGCAAGTACGGCAGCAAGCCGCAGCAGTACAAATTCACATTCAAAGCATGCGATCGCGACGACACTCGGTGGATTTCAGGCGCAGATTTGAAAGCATCCGCACCGCTGATCTACGCGCATTATGAAAAGCGAAGGTTAGCTCAGGAAGCTTCACGACCAGCCCCTCCCACCTGGACTGTGGTCCCTCCCTCAGACAGACAGCTTCGCCTTCGCAGGCAAGCTCGGTTCTTCAAGGAGGGGGGGGTGTGGCATACTGCGTAGCCACACGGGCCCTGCAGGACCCGTCCCACACATTCAGCCTAAAAGCCTAAAACTTGGGGCTTACAGGCCCGGGTCGTTCCAGCCTGAAAACTGAAAAATGAGGGTCTGCAGGCCCTGCTCCGTTTCAGCATATTTCTGGGCCTTTCAGGCCCAGAGGTTTTCCAGCCTGAACAGAGGGCCTTTTTCAGGCCCTCGTTGTTTCGACCTCCCCTAAGACTCAGGCACGAATACAGGGTTTCGGAACAGGCCAAAAATAGCCTGTTCCTCACGAGCTTGAGCAGGAGCTGCAGCTGCAGCCCCTGCCTCCTTTCGGCATTGGCAAGAGCAGCCTCCTGATCTGCTCGCGCGGCTCAAGAGGCACACCCGGTAGTACATAGGAAGTTCCCATGCACTTCACGGGTAGGTAGTTGTCAGTAGGGACGGGTAGTCTTCAGGATTTCGGCCATAGCACTCAGGAGGAGCGCTGCAGTAGTCTTCAGCGCTAGGCAGGAGTTAGCGCTAGCTGTAGTCTCCGGCGCTGGGCGCCTATAGCCATAAAGTAGTCTTCAGCGCTGGGCGCTGGTAGGTGGTAGATCGTAGAGTGGGAGAGATACTAGCGGAGGCTAGTGGTACTTACCTGTGGCGCCATCGCTCCAGCTCCATCTTCGTGGTACCTGCATCAAGGCGCCAACTTCACATGTTAGTACTTGACATGGAGAGAGAGAGAGTTCTTCTTCTTCCTCTTCTAAGTCCACCATCTCTTCTCACCCTCTCGCCACCCGACTTCTCAGACTACGACAGAGAGAGAAAGAGTTGTGACTTGAGACTTGACGACATTGGATCCAAACTGGACATTGGGGTTCAGACATTTCGACGAGGGACTATTTGGGCCTGTATCGAGACTTGGTGTTGACGACATTCCCATCTTCCCTCCTCTTTTGTCTAACCCCTCCTTCTTCGTCTGTGTATRGTTGGGGCTGGCGCAGTCTTCTTGCGTGAAGCGCCAGACCCCCTTCACACCAGATAACGATGATGATAATGTGTGTTCAGGGCCGCATTGCAATATTGATTGTTCGGATCATTCGTATCTAAGTCTTCCGCTGTGTTATCTTGTACTTTGCATTGAGAGGTCGATTCTTGTTCTGGTCTGCACGTTACAGTATGCAACACCTTGCCTCAATTTTTGCCCCCCAAAGTCCACATTCTCAATTTCTGATGCATTTGGCTCTCTTTTTAGGCCAAATGCACAGTTTTGTCCTCTTCCTTCTTTTGTTTCTTTCCATTTTGGGCTGCCACCTCATTCCGGAGCTAGCCGTTTTGTGCTGGCCCACAAAAAACAGCTAGATCCTCTCCACCATGAGATCTGATCTTAGATTCATTGTCCAAAAGAAAACCGGCCAACTCACTTCTGCATTTTCCCTCAATTTTCCCTTTTTAATTAAGATATTGTAGATATAATGCCCCAAGGGCCATATCTCTGTAATCCGGACTGCCCTCCTTGAATCTAGGAGGCATGAGGTCATCGTAGGGACTTGCCAGTCCCTACTGCTGCAGTCCCAATAGGCCGGCATATTTCCCTCCACTCTTTTCTCCCCTTTTTATCTCATTCTTCCTCCATTTTCTCCCAATTTTCTCTCTTTTTCTATTATTGCAGCTGCGACAGGTGTCAAACAGTTGTGCATCATTTTTCTAGCCTTTAGGGCCCCATTCAAGGCCAGATTCACAACAGCTAATAAGCCATTATATCACGGATTGCAGCAATGGCACCCCCACGCTCCTACGAGGCTTCATTTTGCTCCCGTTATTTCTGATTTTGAGTCCTCTTGCTCCGATTTTTTCCGGACAACCATTTTTTCATGTGGAGCCCCTTGAGGCTCTATTTTCTCATGCCTAGCTGATCCGAGATATCTTGGGCTGCTGGGCAGGCCCCCTACCAGTATTATTTCTCTTTGCCTTCCTCCCGTGGCTCTACCAATCGCCCCCACTAGTGCTTGCACTAGTGGTGCTAATATTTTCCACCGTCTAGATCCCCGATCTCGACGGTACCGTCCGCTCACACTTGGCTCAAGGCTTCCTCGGGACAACCCAAGTCCCCGCCACTTCCCTTGCACTAACTCCGTTTTCTTGTCCCACCGGCACTCCCGTGGACGCATGTCCCATTTTCGATTTTTATTATTTGGGCCCAATCGGTCCCCGGCAACATCCCGGACGGCGTCCCATTTTTATTGTTGGGATCCCCTTTGTCGTTGGCGGCCCCAACCTTCTTCCCTTTAGGCGCCGCACGCGTGCCAATTTTTCTTGGCCGCGAGATCTCATCTTGCGACCGCCGTTTACCGTCTTCACTTGCCTCATGCCGAAATCACCTTTTTCTAGCCCTCCGGACTTGCCGTGGCTCATTTTCCCTTAGTCTAGGCATCCCTATGCAGTCCGTTATTTCTCGGACCGCATCCATGCTCCTTTCCCTAGTCCCACAACCCTACACCTTGCCCCATACTAGGGAGAAATGAAGCACTAGACTCCCAAATGCATCCGGACTCACTATTGGCTTCGGATGCATCTAAAACAGGTGTCTCCCTTCCCCTATGCAGTCCGTTGCAGCTCGGACTGCAATAGGGGTCAATTGCCTAGCCCCAATGCCCCACAACTAGCCCCTTCTTGAAAGAGAAGAAAACGGTCAACTCCCAGATGCATCCGGACTTGGTTCTGGCTCCGGATGTATTTAAAACATGTGTTCCTCCTCCTCTATGTAATCCGTTATTTTTCGGTTGCATGGGGCCTTGATTTTCTTTGATTTTCTCTGCAAAAATCAAAGAAAATCAAGGTCCTTTGCAACCACCACATTCCAGAATGAATCTGGTCACGGATGCACCTCCCCAAGTGACCGTTTTTGGCTGTTAGTGCCCTTTTGTCTTTTCCTCTTTTTTTTTTTTTTTTTTTTTTTTTTTTTTTTTTTTTTTTTTTTTTTTTGGGGAAAAATTTTTTTTTTTTTTCTTTTCCCATTATATTTTTTTTTTCTAAATTTTTTTTTTTTTTTTTTTTTTTTTTTTTTTTTTTTTTTTTTTTTTTTTCTTTTCTTTTCCCTCCATTTGTGGACAGTAGGAACCTGCCAGTCCCTACTTGCTGCAGTCCCAACTGACGGCCAACTCACTCACTCCCCCTCACCCATTTTGTCTTATTTTCCCTCATTTTTCTTTTTCTTTTCTTTTTCTTTTTGCCTGCCAAGTGTCAACTAGACGTTAAGGCCCTTTTCTAGGCCCTCGTTATTAGTTTTGGCCCTTCCTCTCCTCATGGTGCAGTCCGTTGCAGCCCGGAATGCAATTTTGGCCTTCTCATGCCTACGGGAGCCTCCTTTTATTCCCATTCCTCTCCCGCAGTGGCCTCCCTCACTCCGATTTACCCCGAGAGGCCTCATATTCCCATGGGCTCTCTTTTAATTCAATT